ACCAGGCCTCTAGTAGTATATGTATATTTCTATTTTATTTTTTTAACAAGAGTATTCTTTATACAGTGGGGCCTTGACTTACGAGTTTAATTCGTTCCGAGACTGAGCTCGTTAAGGAGCTCATTAAGGAGCTCGTTAACTCAAATTACTCTATCAACTCAATGCAAAAAATCGGCCGAGAGACAGCTGGTATCTCAAAAAACTCGTTAGTTGGACACTCGTAAGTCAAGGCCCCACTGTAATATACTTATATGCACAGTCCATGGACAGGGCCAGTAGGTTGGTGAAGACCTAAAGGAGGGAATGGGGAGGGGCTGGGAAAAGGAGAGTGGAGGGATTTAAAAGAGGGGGGGAGCCCTAACCAGTTTGGCTCAGTGGATAGAGTGTCGGCCTGCGGACTGAAAGGTCCCAGGTTTGATTCCAGTCAAGGGCATGTACCTTGGTTGCAGGCACATCCCCAGTAGGAGGTATGCAGGAGGCAGCTGATGGATGTTTCTCTCTCATTGATGTTTCTAACTCTCTATCCCTCTCCTTTCCTCTCTGTAAAAAATCAATAAAATATATATTTAAATAAATAAATAAAGGGGGGGGAGTAAGTGGGAGATATATGTGATGCTATCACCAATAAAAATACAGAATGTCATAAACTGATGAACAAAAACAGAGACAGAGACAGAGAAGCATCAGTCAGACTGTCAAACCTCAGAGGGAAAGTAGGGGAGGGTGGGGGTAAGGGAAAGAGATCAACCAAAGGATTTGTATGCATGCATATAAGCCTAACCAATGGACGCAGACACCAGGGGGGTGAGGGAATGAGTTGCGGGGGTCGGGGTGGAAGCGATGGGGGGATAAGGACACATGTAATACCTTAATCAGTAAAAAAAATATGCATTTCTATTTTTTGAATCCTTGCACCAGTGGGATGGCCTGTGGGATCGGGCCAAAACCAGCTCTCCAACACCCCCTGAGGGGTCCCGGATTGCGAGAGGGCACAGGCCAGGCTGAGAGACCCCACTGGTGCATGATCAGGGCTGGGGCGGGATGTGGGAGGTTGGCCAGCTGGGGAGGGCTTCAGGGCATGTCCGGCCTGTCTCGCTCAGTCTCGATGGCTGGACCTCAGCAGCAAACTAACCTACTAGTTGGAGTTTCTGCCCCCTGGTGGTCAGTGCATGTCATAGCAAGTTGGGAGGCCTTAGCATATCATTAGCATATTATGCTTTGATTGGTTGAATGGATGACCAGATGACTAGACACTTAGCATATTAGGCTTTTATTATATAGGACTAGAGGCCCAGTGCATGAAAATTCGTGCACTGGGGGGAAGGGGTCCCTCAGCCCGGCCTGCCCCCTCTCACAGTTTGGGAGGCCTCAGGGAATGTCCTACTGACAGCTTAGGCCCGCTCCCCTCTGCAGGAGGCGACCCGGCGATCATAGGAAGGCACTGCCCCCATCACCCTGCTGCTGCTGCCACTGCCAGCTACTAGGCTATTGGCCCTCAGCCCTTGCTTCCTAGTGCTGGCCAGCTGGGGGAGGAGCTGGGGGAGGTTGAGGCACAGCAGGTCGCACCCCTCCAGCCTCTGTGGAGACCTGGTGCCAGGACCAGCCCGCGCCGCTGCCTCTGTGGAAGGGGCAGCACTGGGACCGGGACTGCGCAGCCCCCTTTCCCCCTTCCAGGTCAAGACTCTATATTTTGAAAGTGGGAGGATTATTAAAAAATCTCAAAAGGTTTGGACATTTGACTAAATAGAATCAATGTCATTATGAAGCAATACTTAATAGTCATTTAACCGAAGTGACGATAAAAAATTTCAAAGACAAATTCAGTACCTTACATAATTTTTAGCAAAACTTAGTTCTTTCGCATGGACAACAGTGTGGTGATTGGGGGGTGGGGAGATGGGGAATGGAAGAGGATATAGGAGGGTAAATGGTAATGGACGGAGACTTAACTTGGGGTGGTACATATATCATAAAGCGTACATATGATGTGTTGTGGAATTGTGCACCTGAAGCCTGTATAATTGTGTTAACCTGTGTCACCCCAATAAATCCAAAATTTTTTTTAAAAGCGTAGTTCCTGCCTGGCTGATGTGGCTCAGTGGTTGAGCGTCGACCTATGAACCAGAAGGTCATAGTTCAATTCTGGATTCCCGGTCTGAGCACATGCCCAGGTTGTGGGCTCAATCCCCAATAGGGGGCATGCAGGAGGCAGACGATCAGTGATTCTCATCATTGATGTTTCTCTCTCTCTCCCTCTGCCTTCCTCTCTGAAATCAATAAAAACATTTTTAAAAAACTGTGGGGAGCCAGCACGGCCATAGCATACTCAGCCCCAGGGCGCCTTATTTTGCCACGCTAGCTCAGCCAGGTTCAGTAACCCTGAGAGGGGGCAGTGAAGGATGGAGAAAAGACAGACAAGAGAAGAAAGCTGGATCTGGGTGGGATGCTGTCCTCTCTGATAGAGAGTCAGCGCCACAGACTACAAGCCGTGTCTTTATTTTATAGCAGATGCCATGAGGCAAAGTAAGGGTGTGGTCAAGATGTTTACAACATTCTCATGGGTTTCGATCCTACTCAATTACATGCACCTGAACTCTATCAAGCCCACATCACTCAGGCAGGTGGGGCCACGTGTTCGGACCATAGGTTCAAGCTTACAGCTAGAGCTGTTGGCTATAATTGTGCTGGGAAGGCTCTGCCCTCCAAGCTGGGACTTGCACGTGGCCATGAGAGGACTGTGCCCTCTCATTAGTCCAAGGCTTGAACCTGTCCAAACACTGTAGCTGCTCTCCATAAAAAAATAAATAAAAATAAAAAGTGTGGTTCCTACTATTAAGGAGATTCAGTTTTCTTAGGTAATCAAGGACCTGATTCAAACAACATAAAACACAGAAAATTATTATTTTTTTTAAAAATATATATATTTTATTAATTTTTTACAGAGAGGAAGGGAGAGAGATAGAGAGTTAGAAACATCGATGAGAGAGAAACACCGATTAGCTGCCTCCTGCACATCTCCCACTGGGGATGTGCCCGCAACCGAGGTACATGCCCTTGACCGGAATCGAACCTGGGACCTTTCAGTCCGCAGACTGACGCTCTATCCACTGAGCCAAACCGGTTTCGGCCAGAAAATTATTTTGATAAAACACATTTCTTTGCTTTCTAGACAGAAAAAAATTTCAAAATATCAGTAGACCAATAATCTAATAAAATTTTGTCCTTTTTAGCAGAGAGAAAACCAAACTCTAAATTTACATCAGATTGCTTTTGATATTTAAATTCACTTACATTTATTTCAATCTTTTTTTTTAAATGTTGATTTTTTTTAGAGAGGAAGAGGGATAGCAATCAGCTGACTCCTGCACTCCCCCTACTGGGGATCAAGCCTCCTGCATGCCCCCTATTGGGGATCAAGCCACAACCCCGCATGTGCCCTAATGGGGAATTGAACCGGGGACCTCTTCATGGGTCAATGCTCAAACACTGAGCCATACCAGCTGGGAAAATTTATTTCAATTTTATTCAGCTTCACTACTCATAAATTTATTTCCTGAAGATTCCTTTTTCATAAACTTGCTTCAATTTTCAGTGTCCCTTTTAGTGTGTAAACTTGTTCTCTAATCCATTCAGAAAAAATCAGGCCGAAACCGGTTTGGCTCTGTGGATAGAGCGTCAGCCTGTGGACTGAAAGGTCCCAGGTTTGATTCCGGTCAAGGGCATGTACCTTGGTTTCGGGCATATCCCCAGTAGGAGGTGTGCTGGAGGCAGCTGATCGATGTTTCTGACTCTCTCTCTCTCTCCCTTCCTCTCTATAAAAAATCAATAAAATAAAAATAAAAAATCAATAAAATGTATTTTTTTAAAAAAAGAAAGAAAAAAATCAGGACACAATTACTTCATTTCCCTTAATGAAAACGTATTTCCCCATTTTGTACCTTTTTTAAAGCCAAATATATCCTATTTTTCTTGTATACATAGTTGTTTTCTCTATTATTAATTTTTGTACCTTTACACATGATATAATTCTTCACCTTTAAAAATCCTAATTTCTGCTCTAGCCAGTTTGGCTTAGTGATTAGAGCGTCGGCTGGTGAACTGAAGGGTCTCAGGTCTGATTCTGGTCAAAGGCATGTACCGTGGTTGCAGACTCGATCCCCGGCCTGTCAGGCCATGTGCAGGAGGCAACTAGTCGATGTGTCTCTCTCACATCAGTTTCTCTGTCTCTACCCTCCCCTTCCACTCTCTAAAAATCAATAGGAAAAAAAAAATCCTTGGGTGAGGATTAACAAAACAAAAAATCCTAATTTCTAGTGATAACTAAGGAATAAACAATTGTGAACTGTTATACCATTTATAAACACATTTTATAATTTCTAAAAGTATTTTCTTCACAGCACAGTTTTTTTAATGTGGCACAAAACAGGTTAACTAAGAGACTCAACTATCTTTAGTTCCTCTGTGAGAAGCAAAAAGTAGGCAAACCTACATTCAGTAAGAAATGTTTCAGTACTTTATTATATTTGGAAATGGTCTAGACATTCAATGAATATCCATCATTTAATTTAGCTAGCAAACCTTTAACGTTTCAAGTTACCAAATTACCAGGCTTAGAAAACCATTTCTAAGTACACCTATGTTGACATAAGAACGTCCAAATTTGTAGAAAACATTTATAAGTTTATTAGATGCTCTGGCCAGGTAGCTCAGTTGTTTAGAGCATCATCCCAATACACAAAAGTTGTAGGTTTAATCCCTAGTCAGGGAATATACAAGTATCAACCAATGATTCTTGCATAAAGAAGTGGAACAATAGCCCTAACCGGTTTGGCTTGGTGGATAGAGCATTGGCCTGTGGACTGAAGGGTCCCAGGTTCAATTCCAGTCAAGGGCATGTACCTTGGTTGTGGGCACATCCCCAATAGCAGGTGTGCAGGAGGCAGCTGATCGATGTTTCTCATCATTTATGTTTCTAACTCTCTATCCCTCTCCCTTCCTCTCTGTAAAAAATCATTAAAATATATTTCCTTTAAAAAAGTGGAACAACAAATCAATGTTTTCTTCTCTTTCTCTCCCTTCCTCTCTCTAAAATCAAAACAAAAAGAATTTATTAGAATTTATTTTAGCCAGAGGCAGGCAGGTTCAATGAGTGGCTGGCTGCATTCCAGTTCATGGTGCCAGGACTTCCAAGGCCTACAACATAATTTGCTTTAATTCTGAGGTATCCAAACACAATTTTTGATAAATATCCCTTGAGTTAAGCCCACTTGTTACTTGCAATCAAGAGACCAGTGCGGCACTCTCGGACAGGAACCACGTTGTCCCAACTTTGTACTCCGTGTCTAGAATATTGGTAGTCACAGTTGGGATTTAATCCATACCTGTTCTGGTCCTAAAGAACAGATAGAGTCTATTTAATTCATAACATTCTTACCAAGTACCCAATAGTATCCAAAGATTGGCTATAAGTCCCATACTGAACATGGAGATTTGCTGAACCTAACCTTAAACGGACCACTAAAGCCGTGTCTGACAGCAACATAAAATATAAAGTTCGTGAACTAGATTCAGAAAGCAAGCATATGGAAGCTCCATGTAAAACTTCACTTCAACCCTTCACTCATGTACGTATAGAGCAGTGGTTCTCAACCTTCTGGCCCTTTAAATACAGTTCCTCATGTTGTGACCCAACCATAAAATTATTTTCGATGCTACTTCATAACTGAAATGTTGCTACTGTTATGAATCGTAATGTAAATATCTGATATGCAGGATGGTCTTAGGCGACCCCTGTGAAAGTGTCCTTTGACCGCCAAAGGGGTCGTGACCCACAGGTTGAGAACCACTGGTATAGAGGAACACTTCCTGAATATGCAAGTTTACTTTTCCTCAAGGAAATATTTATTGCATATTATTAGTGATCATATTTTACATAAAAGATTAAATTAAAGGTATATACTTTTCAAAAACATAAAATTGAAATCAAGGCATCTATCACATTTACATGCTGAAACAAAGTCCTGGTTTTCGGAATCCAGCAGTCAATCATGATTCTGGTCCAGGGCCACCAGTCCATGATTTCCAACAGTTGAGGATCTTGTCAGTCATTGGAACAAAATCTTCTTTATATGTGACAATCGTTTCCACATAAAACCCTTTCGGGGGCTCAGTTATTTCCTTCCTTAGGTCTAACTCGTCACCTTTAAAAAATATGGGACACCTGAATTATTAACATTTAACTTAAGGAGCAGTCATTAAAATTATTTAGTCAAGGCTTAGAAATAAAACAAAATAAGAATTACCTGACTCAGGGCTTTCATATGTTGAGACATCTTTTTGTTCTACTTCATCACCTTTAAAAAAACAAAACACCTGAATTATTAACTCTAACTTACATAAGTCATGTAAACTATTAGTAAAGTCTTATAAGTAAAATAAGGAATTACTCCCACCCCCCCATCAGACTCCTGACACCATTTTCTTTCTGTAAAAAAGAAAAATAAATAAAACATGACCACTACAGACAATGAAATGGTTAGACTCAATACTTGCATGGGCATGTGTACTTTCAGGCCACTGATAATCTTCATCACCAAATGTAATCTTCAGCAGAGTTTCCACATCACAGCTTTACCAAGATGTACTTAACATATCATACAATTACTCCTTTAAAATGTAACGCTGCCCTGGCCAGTGTGGTTAAATGGTTAGAGCGCCTGCCCAGCACCGAAGGGTCTGGGTTCAACTCCCACTCAAAGGCACCTATCTAGGTTGCGGGTTTGATCCCAGCCCTGGTGGTCCGGGAGCAACCAGTGGATGTGTTTTTCCTCACTCTCTCCTCCCTCCCTTCCACCCTAAAAATCAATGGAAAAAATATCCTCGGATGAGGATTAAAAAATAATAATAAATAACCCTAGCTGGTTTGGCTCAGTGGATAGAGCATCAGCCTGTGGACTGAAGGGTCTGGGGTTCAATTCCAGTCAAAGACACGTAGCTTGGTTGCAGGTTTCCTGGCCGCAGGAGGCAACCAATGGAGGTGTCTCTCTCACATCCATGTTTCTTTGTCTCTCCCTCTCCCTTCCACTCTTTCTAAAAATTAGTGAAAAGCCCAACAGTTGTGACTCATTGATTGAGCCTCAACCAATGAACCAGGAGGTCACAGTTGGATTCCCAGTCAGGGCACATGCCCTGGTTGCAGGCTCCATCCCCAGTGGGTGGGTGGGGCGGGGACGACGGGGTACAGGGAGGCAGCCAATCAATCATTCTCATCACTAATGTTTTTCTCCCTATCTCTCCCTTCCTCTCTGAAATCAATAAAAAATATATATATTTTAAATATATTTTATTGACTCTTTACAGAGAGGAAGGGAGAGGGATAGAGAGTTAGAAACATCGATGAGAGAGAAACATTGATCAGCTGCCTCCTACACACTCCCAACTGGGGATGTGCCCTTGACCAGAATCGAACCTGGGACCTTTGAGTCCGCAGGCTGACGCTCTATCCACTGAGCCAAACCGGTTAGGGCTAAAATATGTATTTTTTAAAATAAATGAAAATTCAATGGAAAAATATCCTTGAGTGAGGATTAATAAAAAATTTAAATTAAAATAATAATACAGTAAAATAAAATGTAACATTAAATGGTTTTCAGTACATGCAGATCTGTGGAACCTACACAATTTTACAATATTTTCATCCACAAAAATAAACCCCATACTCTTTGCTATCACTCCTCCCATTCAGCCGCAAGCAACCAGATATCTATTAGCAGTACAGATTTGCAAGCACGATTTTAAAGCTAAAGGAGTTTCTTTCTGGTAAGGGTTTTTTAAAATATTATTTTTTATTGACTTCAGAGAGGAAGGGAGAGGTAGAAACATCAATGATGAGAATCATTGACCGGCTGCCTCCCGCGCGCCCCCTACAGGGGATCGAGCCTGCAAACCAGGCACGAATCCTTGACCAGAATTGAACTGGGACCTTCAGTCCGCAGGCCTTTGCTCTACCCATGGAGCCAAACGGCTAGGGCTCTGATAAGGTTTTAATATTCCTTAGCTGGTATAAGTGCTGAAATTGCTCGCCAAACGCGACAAAGGGCTAATGTTTCAGAAGCACCCGTGTCCAGTGCCTGAAAACTCCCATCTCTAAGGTTACATTGATTCTTCAAATTCTTAGTATAAGCACGCCCTCACTCAAAAATATAAGATTTGGTAAGAAAATTTAAAATGCAGTTCCTGGCAGATTCCATTAAACCGAAATGGCTCTGAACAGCCGTTCCCAAGTTTTGTAGACTATTTTAGGGCTGGCGGCCAGCGAAGCTGCTCCTATGACCCCTGCGCGAGCCCCACGGAAGGCTGCATGTCCCGCGGACGGTCTTGCGGGAGAGCCGTACCTAATGGTTTGCTCTTTTTGCGGCCGGAGAGAATCAAGGCGCCCAACAGGGTCCAGGTGCCCAAAGCGTAAACAGAGGACATGCGCCGGTACCAAAGCGAGGCCTGGTCCGGACGCATAGCGCCGCCGGAGGAAGGAACGTCTTCTCCGAGACTCGGGGTGTAGGCGGGTCTTCCGGTCGGCGCGCCGCCACCGCCGCCGCTTCCTCCAATGGGGAGCTGGCCCCGATGCATCCTGGGGCGTGTAGTCCGGCGAGCCGCGCCCGCAATTGGGCTCAGGCCGGGGAGCTTTGGTTACGGTGCCTTGCTGCGAACCAAGACCTTGCATGCCAAGCGACCTGCCAAATGAGTCCCTCTGAGCAAGCTTCCACTTGCAAACTGACGTGCTTGCCGCAGTGGACACGCAATAAACTGCCATAGTCCTTTCCAGCCTTAATCAAACCATTTCTAAGCATCTGATACCACGGGCCCCTCCTGCTCCTGTTATGGCTCCAGAAACGTTTTCTTCGGTACCTCCGAATCCTTCGGGGCTCTTTCTACTTTGCCCATCCTCGTCTAGAAAGTGATATTTTGACACACCCCAATTTTAACTATGAATGGATCATAGGCTGAAATTTAAAGCTAAAACTATAAACGAAAAAAAACCATAGAGAAGAAAAATCTTTGCTACCTTGGCATAAAGAGTTTTCAAGTTTCTTAGCACAAAACATAAAAACCTGGGGAGAGGGAGGAAGCTGGCGGCCGGCGGGTGTGGAGTCAACGAGAGTGAGAGTAAAGGAGCGAGAGGGAGAGCGTGTGTGTGGGGACGGCACGACGGCGCGGGAGCCTGGGGGGCAGGCGGTGGGGCTCTCGGGGCCACAAAGACTCTGCTACTGCCCAAGGAACCACCCCCCCCCGCGCCCCACCCCCGTGCCCCGCCCGGCAAGGCTCGGAGGCCGCCGCCATCTTGAAGGGCTTGCAAGGTCCTCCTTGGGAGGAGCCTGCCCCGCCCGCCACCCACCGGACTCACCGACGCCTGAGCCCACGGGCACCCCCGCCCCGGAATCCGGACACCCCCGCCCCGGGATCCGCTAGCCCCAAGGACAAAATATACAAAAAAAAAAAAAAAAAGAATATTTCCTGGACAGAATTTTATGAGCAACTCTTCTAGTAAAAGCCACAGTAAAATTTGCATATACGTAAGCACAAGTGCAGGACGGGAAAAATGATATTCAACAGTAAATCCAAGTTAAAAAAGGAATAACTTAAAATTTTCTTCCAATTATATGTTCTGAATATGAAGCTTCTATTTACCGAATAAGCTGGGAATTTTTATTCAAGCACTGGAAGTAGCCACTTCACTGTAATAGGGGTTGCTTTTACCCGAGGTGTGCGTTACAAGGTTGACGGGTATCTCTCTCTCTCCCAATTTTTTTTTTGGGAGGCAACCAAAATTTTTGGTGGCCTTGTTTCGACAAGGCTTACTTACAATTGGTAAAAAAGAAAGACAAAGCTTGTCTCAGCCTAACCGAGTGGATACGACATCGCGTTGTGAGGTGCAATATTTCAGCCCATTGCGGATTTTATTCCTCGTGTGGGCCCAACTCCCACTAGGGGACGTGTAGCAGACAGCCAATCAATGGTTATAGGCCATCATTGATGTTTCTACCTAGAGCAGTGGTTCTCAACCTCGGCTGCACATTAGAGTCACCTGAGAAACTTTTAAAAATCCTGATTTCTGGGCCTCCAATCTCCGGATTCTAATGTGCAGCCAAGGTTGAGAACCACTGACCTAGAGTCTCCCTTCCTCCCTGAAATCAATAGGAATATATATATATATATTTAATATATATATATATATTTAAATATATATATATATTTAAAAAACCACTTTTGAGAATGTCATAGTTGTCTTTAGTCACAGATGGTGGAAGTAGAAAGGTCCGGAGGCTCATTGTGCATTCAAGAATTAAGAATATTTGTTGAAATCTGTTGCTTGCCTTTTTTATATAATTGGATTGTCTCTGTAATTTGAGTTGTAAGGCTTGTTACATACTGCAGATACAAATTCGTCACCTATTTTGAATAGTTTCATTTTTTCTTAACCGTCACTTTTGATTCTGCAAATGTCCTATTTCCCAATGCTCATTTTCAAAATATTTTTTTTCTTTATTGATTAAGGTATTATATACGTGTCCTTACCCCCGATTGCCCCTCCCCCCCTCACTCATGCCCTCACCCACCTGGGGTCTGTG